GGAGGCCGAGACGGGCGGATCACGAGGTCAGGAGATCGAGACCATCCTGGCTAACCCGGTGAAACCCCGTCTCTACTAAAAAAATACAAAAAACTAGCCGGGTGAGGTGGCGGGCGCCTGTAGTCCCAGCTACTTAGGAGGCTGAGGCAGGAGAATGGCGTGAACCCGGGAGGCGGAGCTTGCAGTGAGCTGAGATCCGGCCACTGCACTCCAGCCTGGGCGACAGAGCGAGACTCCGTCTCAAAAAAAAAAAAAAAAAGAAAATGGAAACAGGCCAGACACAGAGGCTCACGCCTGTAATCCCAGTACTTTGGGAAGCCGAGGCAGGCGGATCAATCATCTGAGGTCAGGAGTTCGAGACCAGGCTGGCTAACGTGGTGAAACCCCATCATTACCACAAAAATACAAACATTAGCCAGGCGTAGTGGCATGCACTTGTAGTCCCTGCCACTCGGGAGGCTGAGGCGGGAGAGTCGCTTAAACCTGCGAGGTGCAGGTTGCAGGGAGCCTTGATGCTACCACTGCACTCTAGCCTGGACAACAGAGCCAGAGTCCATCTCAAAAAAAAAAAGAAAAAAGAAAATGGGAATAAAAAGAATATTCTACCAGCTCCCAGAGACAAACAGACCTTATACATTGAGCAGAAATCAGTAACAAAACATTTATTAACAGCAACATGGGGATCTAGAAAGTAATGAAGCAACACCTTTAAAGTTCTGATGGAAAATTATTTCCAGCCTAGAATTCTGTACTAAACAATCAATCACGCCTGAGGGGCATGGTTACTTTTAGACATTCAAGGTCTCAGAAAAATGTTCCTGACCAGGCATGGTGGCTCACGCCTGTAATCCCAGCACTTTGGGAGGCTAAGGAGGGCAGATCACTTGAGGTCAGGAGTTCAAGACCAGCCTGGCCAACATGGTGAAACCCTGTCTCTACTAAAAACACAAAAATTAGCCACATGTGATGGCGGGCACCTGTATCCCGCTACTTGGGAGGCTAAGGCAAGAGAATCGCTCAAACCCGGGAGGTGGAGGTTGCAGTGAGCCGAGATCACGCTACTGCACTCCAGCCTGGGCAACAAGAGCAAGGCTCCATCTCTAAATAAATAAATAAATACACTGGAGCACTCATAGAAGGTAACTAAGACAAAGTGGAGGCCAGAAGGCAAAGACTGTTTCAAAAGATTAAAGTGAAAATCTAATGAATGTAAATATTTTGGGAGATGATTTAGACAATTCTAAAAGTTTAGAGTCACATTAGTAGAGTTTGACGAAAAGAGTCAAACTCTGTAAAATATTTTAAGATTCTTATTCTGAGCCAAATATGAGTAACCATGGGCCATCATGCAGCCCTCAAGAGGTCCTGAGAGCATGTGCCCAAGGTGGTCAGGGTGCAGCTTGGTTTTATGTATTTTAGGGAGGCATGAGACATCAATCAAATACATTTGAGAAATACAGTGGTTTGGTCCATTAAGACGGAACAACTGGGGGTGGGAGTGCTTCCAAGCTATAGGTAAATTTAAATATTTTTTGTTGGCAACAGATTGAGTTTGTCTAAAAAGAAAAGAATATCTGGGTTAAGATGGAGGTTGTGGAGACCAGAGTTGCTGTTGTTGTTGTTATTGTTGTTTTCAAGACAGAGTTTCACTCTGTTGCCCAGGCTGGAGTGCAGTGGTGCAATCTCAGCTCACTGCAACCCCCATACCCCTGGTTCCAGCAATTCCCCTTCCCCTCCGGAGTAGCTGGGATTACAGGCGCACGCCACCATACCTGACTCATTTTTTTATATCTTTAGTTGAGATGGGGTTTCACTATGTTGGCCAGACTGGTCTCGAACTCCTGACCTCAGGCAATCCACCCACCTCAGCCTCCTAAAGTGCTGGGATTAAAGGTGTGAGCCACCGCGCCAGGCCACTTTTATTTTTTAAATGGAGTCTCACTGTGTTACCCAGGCTGGAGTGCAGAGGCATGATCCTGGCTCACTGCAACCCCCACCTGTTGGATTCAAGAGATTCTCATGCCTCAGCCTCCCCAGTAGCTAGGATTACAGGTGCCCGTCACTACACCTGGCTAATTTTTATATTTTCAGTAGACACGGGGTTACACCACGTTGGCCAGGCTGGTCTTGAACTCCTGACCTCAAATGATCCACCAGCCTCTGCCTCCCTAAGTGATGGGATTATAGGCTCCAGGGCTCGGCTGAGAACAGAGTTTTATCATACAGATGAAGCTTTTAGCTGGCAGGCTTCAGAGAGAATAGGTTGCAAAATGTTTCTTATCAGTCTTAAAGTCTGTGTCTATGTTAATGTCGGAGATGTATAATGAGGCAGGTTCAGCCCCCACTTCCCATTACGGCCCAAAACAGCCTCACAGGTTAAATGTTAAGAGCCCTGGCTAAGGAGGAAGCCCACTCAGATGGTTGGGGGTCCTTAGAATTTTATTTTTGGTTTACAGCAGTAAGTACATAGACAGCTACGTAACAACAAAAAAAGGCAATTATTAGCACCAGAGAAAACAAGAAGTGCAGGAAAAGTAATCTGCATAACATACGGTTCAGCTGTAACAGGATGTTTATTCACACTATCATCAGGAAAAAAAACACTGGGCCTGGCCCGGTGGCTCACGCCTGTAAGCCCAGCACTTAGGGAGGCCCAGGTAGGCGGATCACTTGAGGTCAGGAGTTTGAATCAAGCCTGGCCAACATGGTGAAACCCTGTCTCTACTAAAAATACAAAAAAATCAGTCGGGTGTGCTGGCGGGCGCCTGTATTCCCTGCTACTCGGGTGGCTGAGGCAGAAGAATGGCGTGAACCCAGGAGGTAGAGCTTGCAGTGTGACGAGATCCCGCCACTGCACTCGGCCTGGGAGACAGAGAGAGATCCTTGTCTCAAAAAAAAAAAAAAAATCAGTCGGGTATCCTGGCGGGCACCTGTAAGCCCAGCTACTTAGGAAGCTGAAGCAGAACTGCTTGAACCAGCGAGGCGGAGGTTGCATTAAGCAGAGTGCGCCACTGCACTCCCGCCTGAGCAACAAAGAGAGACACTGTCTCAAAAAAAACCCACAACACTGAATACTGATCTAACCAAAATTGAACACAGGTACAATGGCAGATTAGGGAGTTGGGGAGGCCCCGAAGGTGGAAGTCTGTGGGTGTGTTGGGGGTGAGGGGAAAGAGGTCAGGAGGTAATAAAAATGATACCTACTATACATGGGTTAAATCAATAGACCACAACAGTACAACATCAAATTCACAAAGTGGAAAGAAGTTTCTCCTGAGGAACATTAAATCAAATAGGGATGAGGGGTGATGGGAATGCATAGCTTTTTTTTTTTTTGAGGTAGAGTCTCGCCCTGTCATGTCACCCAGGCTGTAGTGCAGTGGCGAGATCTCGGCTCACTGCAACCTCCGCCCCCCGGGTTTAAGCAATTCTCCTGCCCCAGCCTCTTGAGAAGCTGGGACTACAGGCGCATGCCACCACGATGTCCAGCTAATTTTTGTGTTTTTGGAACACACGGGGTTTTACCATGTTGTCTAGGATGGTCTCGATCTCTTGACTTCGTGATCCGCCCGCCTTGGCCTCCCAAAGTGTTGGGATTATAGGCGTGAGCCACCGCGCCAGGCATGGAATGTCTAGTTTTCAACGTGCCTTTTAGAAATACTTCACTAGCCGGGGCGCGGTGGCTCAAGCCTGTAATCCCAACATTTTGGGTGGCCGAGGTGGGAGGATCACTTGAGCCCAGGAGTTCGAGACTAGCTGGGCAACATAGTAAGACGCCATTTCTACAAAAAGAAAAACTTTAAAAAATTAGCCGGGCGCGGTGGCTCACGCCTGTAATCCCAGCACTTTGGGAGGCCGAGGCGGGCGGATCACAAGGTCAGGAGATCGAGACCACGGTGAATCCCCGTCTCTACTAAAAATACAAAAAATTAGCCAGACGCGGTGGGGGGACGCCAGTAGTCCCACCTACTTGGGAGGCTGAGGCAGGAGAATGGCGTGAACCCGGGAGGCGGAGCTTGCAGTGAGCCGAGATCGCGCCGCTGCACTCCAGCCTGGGCGACAGAGCGAGGAGCGAGACTCCGTCTCAAAAAAAAAAAAAAAAAAAAAAATTAGCCGGGCGTGGCAGCCTGCACCTGTAGTCCCAGCTACTCCAGAGGCTGAGACTGGAGGATCGCTTGAGCCCAGGAGTTTGAGGTTGCAGTGAGCCAAGATCGCGTCACTGCACTCCAGCCTGGGCAACAGCAAGACCCTATCTTTAAAAACGAAATAAAACAGAACAGAACGAAATTAAACAAAGAGAATAGGGACGACTCTTGGGTTGGGTTTTGTTAAGTCTGTTTCTGGTTTGTTTAGTCTTTCAACTGAGGATCTGAATGGGTGAAGATACTTTCAATGAGATGGGTATGTCTGGAGCAGACCAAGAAGGGGTAACAGGTAGGTTTCTTCAGTTAAGATTCATTGTCACCCCGTTCGGGTTGAGATCCCTAAGGAAAGAAAGTTCTGAGAGAAGAGGATGGGTAGACGTCACAATAAGGCAAAAAGCATCACAGGGGGAACTTCCTATCAGAACTTTCTAACAATCAGGCGGAGAGCAGACAGCTCTATCTTGGACGGGGTGGTGGCCAGCAGCTCTCTCGGGCCAGGGCTGAAGAAAACCTCCAACGCTCGGACTGCCTCCCCGACTTCCGAAGCAGCGGTGTAGTTCGGGGCTGACCGACGAGCATCCCTAGGGACAGGGCCGTGTTCACGTGCCGGTTCCCGCGCTGCAAGAGGGGGCGGCGGCCGGAGCTGGCCCAGGGGGAGGGCGGCACGGAACCGCCACGCGCACACGCCTCGGGCCGGGGCGGCCGAGGATGAGGGGCCTCAGGGAGCGGACGCTCGAGAACGGGCGCCCCCGGGACCACCTGGGCCACGGGGCCGACGCCCGTGGGGGCAGAGCGCGCCTCACGTGAGGCGAGGGGCGGGGCAATCCGCTCCTCGCCTCAGGCGGAATCGCTCACCCGACGGCACGTAGTCCTCGTCCTCCTCCGACGTGGAGAAGTCTTCGGAGTCGAATTCCTCCATGTTGCTGCCGCTTGATGCCGGTCAAACTCGCAGGACCGCAGCAGCTGCCTCCAACGGCAAAGCTCTAGCGAGAGACCATAGAGCCCCGGCAGCGACGACGGCAGCTAGGGCGGCCCCGACAGCGCTTTGCACATGCGCAGAGAGTACTACGTGGTTTCCTTACGACACTTCCGGCCGATGCCTGCGGGCTGGCGTCCCTGAGGCCCTCACTGCGAGCCCGAACCCGCCCGGACGCGGTGCATGCTGGGACTTGTAGTCATCGGCGCTGCCTCGCCGCCTTCATTTACTAACTCTGCTTAAATAAAATTACATATCTGTGGAAATACAGGTGACCTTCATTAATCATTAGTTCGTAATGTCAAATTCACTTACTTGCTAAAATGTATTTGTAACCCTAAAATCAATCATCACGGTACTTTCTGGGGTTCTTCCCGGGCATGCGCAGAGGGTGAAAATTTGGAGTTGGCGGAGGTACAGGTTCCCAGCTGAGGTTTGAACTAGGCAGAAGCCCCACCTTCTAATTGCACCTCCCGTGCTGTAAACAAAGAGTCCTTTCCGCAATCTGTTTACTGACACTTTTTTTTCTGCTTTTTGTGGGTGCTTTTGCTGTTTAAAATGGCCCCCAAGCGTAGAGCTGAAGCTCTAGCCGGTGTTCCTAAGCAAAAGGAAGACATTGACGTGCCTTACTGAGAAAGTCCACGTGTTGGATAAGCTCCGATCAGGAATGAGTTACTGTGCTGTTGGCCATGAGCTCAATGTTAACGAGTCGACAATCCCGTACATCAAGAAAAAGGTAAAGGAAATTCACCGATCTGTCCGTGAGGCCGCTCCGGATAGTGCTGAAGTGACCTACATCGTGCGTGATGAAGCTATGGAAAAGATAGAAAAGCGGCTAAATTTGTGGATTCATGAGATGTCGACGGATTAAAAACAAACAAACAAAACGTAGTGGACCGCACTGTTGTGAGGCTGAAAGCCAAAGTTATCTATGGTCACGTTACCCAGGGTCAGAGGTATGCTAAACCTTTCTCGGCGAGTGCTGGCTGGCTCGCGCGTTTCAAAACGGCGATACGGGTAAAAAATGTTAAACTTGCTGGTGAGGCGAGTTCTGCAGATCAAAAGGCTGCGGAAGAATTTTAAAAATACTTGCTAAGTGTTATACAGGAAAAGCGTTATGTGGAAGAGCAGGTTTTCAATGAGGATGAGACTGGCTTATTTTACAAGGATATTGGCAAACGAACCTACATAATGCAAACGGCCTCCAAAGCCCCTGGCTTTAAATCATGCCAGGATCATGCACCCTTGTTATTGTGCGCCAATGCCAAGGGCGACTTTAAGTGCAAACCCCTAATGGTGTACAGAACTCCAAATCCACAAGCACTTAACGGGAAATACGGGAACCATCTGCCAGTCCACTGGAGTTGGAACAGAAAAGTGTGGATGATGTCCTATTGGTTCGACAGCTGCTTCATCCCAGAAGTTGAACACTATCTCCAGGGCAGAAACCTTGCCTTCAAGGTTTCGTTTGTTTGTTTTTTAACGGAGTTTCGCTCTGTCACCCAGGCTGGAGTGCAGTGGTGCAATCTCAGCTCACTGCAAGCTCTGCCTCCCGGGTTCACACCATTCTTCTGCCTCAGCCTCCCGAATAGCTGGAACTACAGGCGCCCACCAGCATGCCCGGCTAATTTTTTGTATTTTCAGTAGAGGCGGGGTTTCACCGTGTTAGCCAGGATGGTCTCGATCTCCTGACCTCGTGATCCGCCCGCCTCGGCCTCCGAAAGTGCTGGGATTACAGGCGTGAACCTGTAATCCGCGCCCGGTGCCTTCAAGGTTTTATTAATTTTCGATAATGCGACAATCCATTGCTGCAAAGAACTTGAAAATGCACAACCCAACATAGAAGTTCTTTTTATGCCCCCAAACACTAAGTCTCTCATTCAACCCCTCAGTCAGGGCATAATAAAAGCGTTTAAGGCACACTACACAAGGGAGCTTTATACGAAGGCCTATGAGGCTCTCAGAACCAACAAGGAAACCGCCATGCTTGACTATTAGAAGTCGGTCACTATACTCAACGTCATTGATTATGTCCGCACAGCCTGGGAGCATTGGTCAGGCTACTATCAATAACTGTTGGGAAAAGGTTTGGCCAGACTGCGTGGAGAATTTTGAAGGCTTTTAAGGTGTTACACAAAATATAAAGAACAGTGTCAGAGACATAATGCATATGGCACAGCAGATAAGTGGAGAGGGCTTTGATGACATGAAGGAAGGAGATATGGAGGAGATTTTGGCAGAGAAGGCAGTGGAACCAATGAAGACCTGGATGAGATGGCAAAACAAGGCATTGGAGTTGATGAAGAGGATGGCCATGAAAGTCGGCCCGAGACTTCCAGAATTGTCCCTCTCACAGCAGCCAGAATACTGGAATGGAGTTCTGCCTTGGAAAAAAAACTTTTATCGACATGGAAGAGTGTGACTCTATGCTTGATCGAAGCCTCAAATTTAAGCGCCTGGCCCTCACTGCGTTTGCCCCTTTTACCGAGATGCTTAAAGACTTCAGGCAGAAAAGCCAAGCAGGCGGCCGGGCGCGGTGTTTCAAGCCTGTAATCCCAGCACTTTGGGAGGCTGAGACGGGCGGATCACAAGGTCAGCAGATCAAGACCATCCTGGCTAACACGGTGAAACCCCGTCTCTACTAAAAATACAAAAAAATTAGCTGGGCGTGGTAGTGGGCGCCTGTAGTCCCAGCTACTCGGGAGGCTGAGGCAGGAGAATGGCGTGAACCCAGGAGGCGGAGCTTGTAGTGAGCTAAGATCGTGCCACTGCACTCCAGCCTGGGCGACAGAGCAAAGACTCCGTCTCAACAAAAAAAAAAAAAAAAAAAAAAAAAAAGCCAAGCAGGCAAGGCTAATGCAATTTCCCAAGCCAGTTTGGGAGGGAAGATTGCCCACTCCTTCAACAAGTGTCAAGAGCCGACTCCTAAGGTAGAAATGCCAGAGTTTCACCTGCCACCCTCTTCCTCTTCTGCAGAATAAATTTCACTCACCCCTCCCCTGGTTTCTGTGGCACAAGCCAAGGTCGAGAGGTTTAACCACATTGTGCAGGTCCATCAACCATAAGATTTTAGTTGATATTTTTATAAAACTTAGGATGCTCCATCTTTTTCACTTTATTTGTATTGCTGTACTGTAGCGTATACAGTATGTGTGCGAAGTAGTGTACGTGTTTACTGTGGGAACTGTACGGTATGTTATGCTGTTTACTGTATATGGGTACTATATGTGTGTACTCTGTGTGTGACAATGAAAAGGTAGTACAGGCCGGGTGTGGTGACTCACACCTGTAATCACAGCACTTTGGGAGGCCGAGGTGGGCGGATCACAAGGTCAGGAGTTCAAGACCATCTTGACCAACATGGTGAAACCCTGTCTCTTCTAAAAATACAAAAATTAGCTGTGCGTGGTGGCAGGCGCCTGTAATCCCAGCTACTCAGGAGACTGAAGCAGGAGAATCGTTTGAACCTGGGAGTCGGAGGTTGCAGTGAGCCGAGATCATGCCATTGCACTCCAGCCTGGACAAAAGGGCAAGACTCTGACTCAAAAGAAAAGAAAAAAAAAAGGTAGTACAATCTCAGTGTACTAGAGTACATTACACCAAACTACTGTCATTGAAATTTTATTGTAAATACTGCAGATTATTTCTAAGAAAAACATATTAAATAAGGTGTCTTTGAACAGAAACACACATAAAACAAAGTTACATACTGATCAGTTGACACAAGTGTTGACCAGAGTTTCACAGGAACCTAACCCTGTATTTCACCCAGGAGCCATGATTCAGTTTTTGCTAATTCAACGTTCTCGACAACTTTATAGACATAACTACTGTGAATACAAAGAATGGACTATTCAGGAATGCAGTTATCATCCACATGAACTCTTCAAGTTAAACCATATGGAAGTGCAACCATATATAATCTTTACCATGTCTTCAGATTAAAACATTTTAATGATCTATTTATGAGGTAACAATCAGAAGCAAATTCAGAAGAGACATCAATGACTACCATACTATTTGGTTTTGTTTGTTTGTATTTGAGATGGAGTCTCGCTCCCTGGTTCAAGCAATTTCCCTGCCTCAGCTTCCCGAGTAGCTGGGATTACAGGCACACGCCACCACGCCTGGCTAATTTTTTTGTATTTTTAGTAGAGATGGGGTTTCACCATGTTAGCTAGACTGGTCTCAAACTCCTGACCTCAGGCAATCTGCCTGCCTCGACCTCCCAAAGTGCTGGGATTACAGGCGTGAGCTACCGTGCCTGGCAACTATTTGTTTATCCTGTACACAGATAGGAGTTTTTGTCAGCTGAAATGGCTCCTCATTGATACTCTGGACTAGACTGGGTCTGTAAATCCAGGAAATCAAGAAATAAATCTTTTGTGAATTAAGGAATAGACGAGACATGCATGTGATTAATAAGACATTACAATGGCTCTATACCAGCAAATTTTAAAAAATAGCCTTATTGAGACACAATTCACACACCATAAAATGTACCCATTTAAAGTGCACAGTTCAGTCCAGGCACGGTGGCACTCTAGCCTGGGTGACAGAGTGAGACTTCGACTCAATAAAATAAAATAAAATTTGAAAGTGCACAATTCAATCGTTTTTGGTATATTCAGACTTGCACAATCATCACTAAATCCATCTAGAACATTTTCATTGCCCCAAAAATAAACCGTTTCTCATTCCCCATTCATGCTCATTCTTCTCCTCAAAGACCATCCTCTATAGATTTGCTTATTCTAAACATTTATTTCATATGAATGGAATCAGACAATATGTGGTCTTTGAGGCCTGGTTTCTTTCACTTAGCAAGACATTTTCAAAGTTCATTTCTCTTAGGTATATCGTCAGTGGGATTGCCTGATCATATAATTGCCTTACGCCTGTAATGCCAGCACTTTGGGAGGCTGAGGTGGGCGGATCACCTGAGGTCAGGAGTTCAACACCAGCCTGGTCAACACGGTGAAACTCCGTCTCTACTAAAAATACAAAAATTAGCCGGGCATGGTGGCATGCACCTGTAATCCCAGCTACCTAGGAGGCTGAGGCAGGAGAATTGCTGGAACCTAGGAGGCAGAGGCTGCAGTGAACCGAGATTGCGCCA